ATGTTTGAATAAATAACACTTTCCTATACATTTTTTCATTACCAGCATAGTTCATGTATTTTTTAATTATTTATATTTATATTGCACGTTTCCCAACAAATGCTTAACTGAACATTTATGTATTTTCTGTCATTACATAGTATGAAGAATGCAGTTTAGAAACAATACAAAGCAGCTACTGCTGCTATAATAAGATAATGTGTTGTAGTTTTCACTAGATGCAGAAAGTAATGTCTGTAGATAAGTGGTAAATGTAGTGGATGCTCATTAGCAGCAACAGTCTTCATCTAAATATCTTTGTTGGATAAATAGATTAAAGGCCAAAATAAGAGAGAGATCTATGTCTAGGAAATCTAAGGGCTTGTCTTCCCAGGAAAATTTGGATTAAGTTGGAATGTGAATATAAAGCAGAACACCTATGAATGGTTTAAGCTAATTTTGAATAAAACTCACTCTTTACAGGGTGAAAATATTACCATAGGGAGTTAAGCTGAGGGCTGGACTTGATCTTCTGAGGGCCCTTCCAGCCCTAATGCCTGTGAAATCTATGAAAGCAGGAATAATGGTTTCAAAATAACTCCCCATTAAGGGAAATTTAAAATTGCCTACTTCAATGTAATTCTAAAAATTGAATCCGTTTGGGAGATTTAGATGTTTTGTGCCTCTCAGGATATTAATCCAAGATTATTATTTCAGTTGTTCGATCTTGAAATGTAGAAGATCAATATAAGCTTACCATGGGCTGTGTTTGTTTTGAGAAAGATGGGACATTTGTGACATTGATTCTGAATGTTAGAGAGTTAGAATTAGTATCACCTTGCTATCAAAATACAAAAAATATATGTTACTGAATCTGATTGCAACTCAGAAAAGAATTACCCTCAAGTTAACTGCTGGAGTGAATATGCTCCCTTTCCCCCACCAGAAAACACCCCCAACCGTGTATTTATGGACCAGTTCCAAGAAGCAAATCCCTGAGGTACAGTGCAATTTTGTTTGATCTTTAGTTACAAAAACAGCACTGCAAGGCAAACAGCTATTGCTGGCCTCTTGTGTGATTGGTTAAAAGAAATTGTACTGACATCAAAGCTGCCCTAATCATATATTTGATAAATTTAAATTTTCACAAACATAGCTCTACACAATTTGTTGAAAACTAGTTTTAATAGAAAGGTTTTCTGGTAGAATATCTTCACATATTAAATCAGAAAAGGATAATTCTACACTTTTACATATCAATGTATATTTTCCATATCTACTGATGTAGAGGCATTTGTCTGTTGTCATTACAAGGTGATGCCATATACCTTAAAATGTTGTTAAAGGCACAATTTTATCAGTATTGTATGATTAAGACTGAACATGCATTTTGTTTCAGGGTGGGCTTAGATAGCTGTTTAAACATAGCTAAAATATTGCAGTAATTAAATGTTATTGGCAAAGTAAGCTGTACCTGGAAGGAAAGCTCAGTGAATTTGCAGTGGAAACATGTTCTGGGATGGGTGCAGGGGAAATCCTCCCACACAAATATAGCAGTGGTTTTGTAGTTTTGAGTTCTGCAGGAATGTAGAAAAATAAATTTAGAAAGAGATATGGAGTTCTAACATTGAAAAGTTAGAAAAGTTAGTTTTACAGAAAATATTTAAACTGTCAGGCAAGATATTAAGTCTCTTTTCATGACATATGGCCATTTTTTAAGCACTCCCAGAACAAAGAAAAATGGCTGCAAGATAATAAATATTAGTATAGCTTTCCAAAAAAATGCAGTTATTTTTCTGTAAGATCTTGTAACTATAAGTTTCAGCTCTTGAGCTGGATTCAGATGTGCAGAGACATGTGGTTTGTGGCACTGCAGACCTCTTTGCAGTGCCACAGACCACACGTTACACTGCACTGCAAATTTGCAGCACTTATGGTAACAGAAAAAAACCCTGAAAAAAAAGCAGTGCAAAGCACATCAAAGTGCCATGTGCCAGGATAGATGCAGAGATGGCACCCTTCTCTGTGCCCCAGCTGCCCGCCCCCCTGTTTTATGGGGGCTCCATGAGCCTCAGTGCAGGGGCTCTGCAGCGCACTGAGGAATGTTGAGGCAGAGGAACAGGCAACCCAGGGCTGCCTGCTACCCTGTCTTGAGGCACACTGCATCCCAGCCAGCTGGGGGATGGCTGGCTAGGGCACAGGGTGCCTTAGCATGGAGGCTTCACAGCATGCTGAGATGAGGAAGCAGGCGGCCCAAGGCTGCCTGCTCCCTCATCTCTGTGTGACACTCTCTGGCTGGCTGCCTTGGCTGGCTGCTGCCTGCCAGCTACCAATGTCTGTGCTTTTGCCTTGCCTGCTCTTGCCCGCTGCCTGCCAATGTGTGTGTCCCACTGCAAACCACATGAGCAGGGGTGTGCAGATTTGTCCCACTAGTATTTGTGCTGCTGCAAACACATGCCCTTGCTCGTGTGGATGCAGCCTTGATTATTTTCACTTATGTCTATACAAAGTGTTAGTGGAACTGGCTAAGTAGAGTTGTTGGTACCATTTTTTTCTTTAAGAATAAACTTTGCTTAGTGGTTAGTATATATTAAGGTAATCTTGTTGGGGATTAGACCAGTAATTGCAGCTGGAATAATTGTTCTGAAAACCAAATCAAACTACTTTTGCTTTTCTTCTCTGCCGGCTCTTAATTTGTCTTTCTTCAGATTCTTCTTAAGATATATTACTATGAAACCAACCACACCTTAATCCTTTTAAGAAAGACCATCCCCCCAATCACTGTTATACATCTTAATACTTAGACTGCGTTGGACAAGACTATTGGACAGATGCTCTGGACCATAGTTATTTGTGTATCTGTAAGTTAGATATGGCTAGTCACCACATTTCTCAGTGCACGGTGGCAAGTGGGAATGTTCTGGGATGGTCTGAGGACAAGAGACTGAGGAAGTGCAGTAGAGAAAAGAGCTATATGCACTGTTTTGTCTTTTCCCTTACACCAGGCATGCTCAATCTCTGACCTGTGTGCTAGATCCAGCCTGCAACCCCATGTCATTTGACCCGCAAGGCTCCCCAGAGGTCTGGAAATTTGGCAGCACAAGATCAGTATCACTGCTTCCCTACTGCCAAATCTCTGAACCCATGGAGAGACCAGGTACCTACATGCTGGATCTGGTGCCTGAACCTAGAGTGTGGTGGGGGATAACAAGCCAGGCCCCTAGGACTCAGTCCTGGCAGGCAGAGGGCAGGAGGGGGTGGCATCAGGCCCTGGGACCCAATCCTGGTGTGCATGAGTGAGAGGAGGTCTCGTGCTGGGACCCTGGAACCCAATTGTGGAGGGACGGAGCAGTGCTGGGCCCTGGGGCCCAAATCTCAGTGCACAGTGAGGGGGTGGTGTCAGGCCAGGTCCCCAACACCCAGTTCTGGTTCACAGGGGACAGGAGGAAGTAGCATCAAGAACCCAGGACCCAGTCCTGGCACATGGAGCAGGGAGGAGGTGGCACCAGACCCCAATGCCAGATCTGTCCCTTTGGGCCAAAAGGTTGAGCTCCACTGCCTTAGATTATGAACTCCTAGGAATCCTTCTTTTAATTTGTGTCATAATCTGTGGGTGTGTCTACATGTGTCCCTATGGTACTATTGTTACTGCACCGTCATTTAGTACTTCCTTTTGGAAGTAAGTGATGGCTCAGTAACAGCCTGTAGCATGCTGTGCGTACTGTGCATAGTTATTTTTAGCTGCTGTGTCACCATAGCAACATGTTATAATGAGAGAGTGCATTGCTACGGCGATGTAGCTGGGGCATGGTGGTTTGTAGCCACTGACACTATGTTGCCATAGTATATTGCTACCGCGATGTAGTATCACACGTAGGTGCACCCTGTACATCTCAGGTCCTTATCACCTTGATATTCCAGCATCACATTCTGTAGTGTCAAAAGGTCAGTAAATAATAGCTATGTGAAGCACATAACGGGCTGGGGGACAAATTGTTCCCCCCTATCTAGGCAGTAGAACATTGGGTACATACATAGTCCTAGGATTGAGAAAAGGAGGGTGTGACAGATGCAAGAACCTTTGCAGTTCAGGCCATGGGAGGAATGGGAGCAAAGCACCAATGAAGCCATTTTGCTGCTGGGGGCAGGCTGGGAAGGGAGCAAATGTGGGAAGGGGGGACCCTTCCAATATTGTTGCTGTCCCAGCCACTCCTGGCTTCAGCCAGGGGCTGAAGGGAACGACTGCTTGGCCAGGCACAGTAGTGACAGTGGTAATGGGGGTCCTCACTTCCTGCTCCTGCTCTCTGACCACCCACGCCAGGTGTCCCCTGCCAGCCTAGGAACAAGTGTTGGAAGAGGAGCCTTCCCACTGCTGCTTGTGTCCCCAGCCAACAGCAGTACCTGCACAGCCATTCCTCCCACTCCCAGGTCAGCCAGGGACAGAGGCAGTGGGTGGGCAGGTCCTCTGCTTCTCATGCCTACTATGGGTACATCCCCCCTTCTCCCTCCCCCCCAACAATATTCCCCTGGACAGGGTGATGGACTCAGCCAGGGACAGTGGTGATGGGTGGGTCTCCTCTTCTGCTCCCTGCTGAACACCCCCAGATGTGCTCTGCCGGTGGTGGGGAGGGGGTCATGGGCAGAGAAATCACTGTGCTACACAGTGGAAGGGGAGTGTGATCATATCACTGCACCCTCCAGGATCTTTCCCTAATTGATATGTAGAGTCTGACACTAAAAAAATATATATTGTTTTATATTTTAAAACTTTTTGTTAAGCATTGTTCTCATACGCACACACACTTTGTAAAAAATAAATTTCTAAAACCCAAAACTTAAAAACACAATCATTAACCAGTTGTTAATAGGTTATTTTTTTCAAGAACATTAAATTTAATCACCTAATGCCTTTGATTGATTTTTTTAAATTCTTTATTTGAGCTTTGAACATAAAAATTGTTAGGCATCGAAACAAAATCATATTGACAGTTTTTTTTCTTTTTTTTCCCTTGGCCTACCAGGATGGTACAAAGCAAAAGAGAGAGCGAAAGAAGACAGTGTCATTTAGCAGCATGCCAACAGAGAAGAAGATCAGCAGTGCAAATGACTGCATTAATGCAATGCTTGAAGGCTCTGAGCTCAAAAAGATTCGGTCCAACTCTAGAGTGTACCACCGGTATTTCTTTTTAGAAGCAGATATGCAGTCCCTGCGTTGGGAACCTTCAAAGAAGGATTCTGAAAAAGCAAAGATTGATATTAAATCAATCAAAGAAGTAAGAACAGGAAAAAATACAGATATATTTCGCAGCAATGGCATTTATGATCAGATATCAGAAGACTGTGCATTTTCTATCATTTATGGAGAGAACTATGAGTCACTAGATCTTGTTGCTAACTCAGCAGATGTTGCAAACATTTGGGTTACTGGGTTAAGGTACCTGATTTCTTACGGAAAACATTCTCTAGATATGATAGAAAGTAGCCAGGATAATATGAGGACTTCCTGGGTTTCACAAATGTTCAGTGAAACTGATGTGGATAATTTGGGACATATACCGCTTTGTAAAGCTGTACAGTTTATTAAAAATTCAAATCCTGGTTTAAAAACAAATAAAATTGAGTTAAAGTTCAAAGAATTACATAGAGCCAGGGACAAAACTGGTACTGAAGTCACAAAGGAAGAATTTATTGAAGTTTTCCATGAACTTTGTACCCGACCAGAGATCTACTTCTTGTTGGTTCAGTTTTCAAGCAATAAAGAATTCCTGGATACCAAGGACCTTATGATGTTTTTAGAAGCAGAACAGGGTATGGCACATGTCACAGAAGAAATAAGCCTTGAAATTATTCACAAGTATGAACCATCGAAAGAGGGCAAGGAAAAGGGTTGGCTTTCTATAGATGGTTTTACTAATTACCTTACTTCACCAGACTGTCATATATTTGATCCGGAGCATAAAAAGGTGTGTCAAGATATGAAACAGCCTTTATCGCATTATTTCATAAATTCATCTCACAACACATACTTGATAGAAGATCAGTTCCGTGGGCCTTCTGATATCACAGGATATATTCGTGCTCTTAAAATGGGTTGTCGAAGTGTTGAATTGGATGTATGGGATGGTCCAGATAACGAGCCTGTAATTTACACTGGACATTCAATGACATCGCAGATAGTCTTCCGTAGCGTAATTGACATTATTAACAAGTATGCATTTTCTGCTTCAGAATACCCTGTTATTTTATGTTTAGAAAATCATTGTTCTATTAAGCAGCAGAAAGTGATGGTTCAACACATGAACAAAATTCTGGGGGATAAGCTACACACACAGTCTCCAAACATAGAAGAGTCTTATCTTCCTTCACCTGAGTCACTTAAAGGGAAAATACTAATTAAAGCAAAGAAGCTTTCCTCTAATTGCTCAGGGCTGGAGGGAGACGTTACAGATGAAGATGAGGGAGCAGAAATGTCACAGAGAGTAGGGAAAGAGGGTGTAGAACAACAGAACATTGTGGCAGGGAAACGATTTCAGCTTTGCAAAGAGCTTTCTGAATTGGTAAGCATATGTAAATCAGTTCAATTCAAAGAGTTTCAAGTTTCCTTTCAGCTCCAGAAATACTGGGAAGTGTGCTCATTTAATGAAGTACTTGCTAGCAAATATGCCAATGAAAACCCAGGGGACTTTGTGAATTACAACAAACGTTTTCTTGCTAGGGTTTTTCCCAGCCCAATGAGGATTGACTCTAGTAATATGAATCCCCAGGATTTTTGGAAATGTGGTTGTCAAATAGTAGCAATGAATTTTCAGACACCTGGTTTAATGATGGACCTCAACATTGGTTGGTTTCGACAAAATGGGAACTGTGGCTATGTCCTTCGTCCTGCCATCATGCGAGAGGAAGTATCCTTCTTCAGTGCAAATACAAAAGACACTGTGCCTGGAGTTTCACCTCAGCTGCTTCATATTAAAATTATTAGTGGACAAAACTTTCCTAAACCCAAAGGTTCAGGTGCCAAAGGAGATGTTGTGGATCCTTATGTTTATGTGGAAATTCATGGAATCCCTGCAGACTGTGCGGAACAAAGGACAAAAACTGTGCATCAGAATGGAGATAATCCAATCTTTGATGAAAGTTTTGAATTTCAAATTAATCTCCCAGAACTAGCCATGTTGCGTTTTGTAGTACTAGATGATGATTTTATTGGGGATGAATTTATTGGGCAGTACACTATTCCCTTTGAGTGTTTACAGACAGGGTATCGGCATGTTCCTCTGCAGTCTTTAACTGGAGAAATGTTATCACATTCTTTCTTATTTGTTCATGTGGCCATTACTAATCGAAGGGGTGGAGGGAAACCTCATAAACGGGGCCTATCAGTGAGGAAGGGAAAGAAATCAAGGGAATATGCCTCTATGAGAACATTATGGATTAAAACAATAGATGAAGTGTTCAAGAATGCTCTCCAACCTATACGGGATGCTACAGATCTGAGAGAAAATATGCAGGTACAGTTTTTTTTACAATGAAATGATCAGTATTGATGTTTGGTTTTTTTTACTTTTTTGTATTACGATATTTATGCAGCATGTGTTTTATACAGAGTTGTATAAATGCTTGTTATGTTTTATAATAGTGATTATTATAGAGATTTATCATTTGTCAGTTTCAAAACCTCTGTTGGAGCAACAGTTGAAAGATGCTGTCTAAAAAACTAACTCCTGGTATGTAAACATGTTTTTTTTCACACTAAAAATATCTGCTCTAATACCATAATTCATGTCTGTTTCCTGAATGAATGGTGTGGAAAAAGTAAGGAGGAAGATTGGCGTTTTGATGTCTTTCACCATTCTAGAACTAGGGGACTTGCAATAATGTTATTACAAGGGGAGTTTAAAATAAAGTTTGTTTTGTTTTCGTAGTGTGTAGTTAACTTGTAGAACTCATTGCCACAAAGTGTTTTAGAGGCTGGGTCAAAAGAGGATCAGACAAATTCATACAGCACTGATTTGTCATTAGGTATTAAACATGATAAGGTTTAGCCTCCAAATTAGGACTTCCTAGGCTTCTGAATAGTCTAGATAGGCCCTGCATGAAAACTTTTCCCCCTAGCCTCTATTCTCTGCCACTGTAAGGTCATCTTTACAGGGTTTTCTACCCTGTAAGGGCGCCAGAGTTGATAAACCTATGATGTGACTTAGTGTGGCATTTCTTATTTTCTTAAGTTAAAATCCTAGCACAGAAAAATAAAATTCAGCATATCTTATTAAAACTTTTTATGTAACTCTCAGGTTAGAGTGCTTCAAAGCAATATGTCTGAGGTTTAATTCCCAGTTTTAAACTTGCATTTTCTTGTACTGCATATAACTATAGATAATTCTCTTTATGAATAAAGTCACATTGAAAGCTACGTTAAAGAACATTTTGCCCATAGTTTAACTTTTTAAAGTTGTATCTACTCTTATGAATTGTATCCAGTTTCCCATGGCTTCCTAATTCCATTCGGTATGATTTATACCAAGGACATTATTGTACTGAAATATTACAAACAGAGTATGGAAGCATGATTTTAGCTGATTAATGACTTTATAATTATAAGCTATTAAATTAATTGAATATATAATTAATTAAAAGGCACACTTCTATTATTCTGTTATTTTATATAATATATGTTCTAGTATGTAAATTAGAATGAGTAGTGCTCATAAGGCTTTAGTGTTTTATTTTATTTTAGTTTATTTTTCCTATTTCATGTATTTTAGAAATATTAAATTTATTAGGTGTGAGTTTCCTTTTATCTATTTTGTTTTGTCCCTTTGAAAGATGAACTTGAAAATTTACAGCTCATCACTAACATATCAAGAAATATCCTCAGGAGATATATAGCTTAGTTGGATGACAGAATTTTAAATTTACATATCTTAACTGACTGGATAATAGAATTGCAAACTATGTACATGTGCTAGATATACCACACTTATACCTAGAATACAGGCAACCCCCACTTAACGCTGTTTTGCTGTAATGCTCATTTTAAATTGATCTGATTTCACTTAGTGCTCAGGAAGTTTTGCTATAACGCTCACAGCTGCCATCATGGGTCATTAAAAACACTTGTGGTCGCCATCTTGGGTCATCAAATACTCTTGGTCTCCCTTAACACTTGTTTTGCTTAAAGCTTGGTTTTTCAGGAACCAATTAAGAGCTCTAAGTGGGGGTTGCCTGCATTTGGCTGCCTGATGTGACGTGCACTTTGGACCTAAGTAGGTTGTCTGAGGTCATTCAGCAGGTCAGTGGTAGACCAGTGTGTAAAATTATGGTCTTCTGACTCACAGCCCAATATTGTATGCAATAGGCCATAGTTCTCTATACCAGTGGTGCCCATTGTTTTGGCCCCATGGGCCAGATGAGTTGTGTGTAGTGGGGCCGCAGGCCTGATCCAGTACTGATCATGGTCATGATCACTGCTCCACACTGGGCCTGCCACCCTGCCCTGTGCATGTCTGATCAGACCTTGCAACCCCAGCCTCAGCCCTGCGTGTGCCAGATCAGGCCTGCTGTCTTGCCTCCAGCCCCACACATGCCAGATAAGGTCCCACTGCCCTGCTCTTAATCATACTGGTGGGATGTCATGTGCAGAGCCATGTCATTTGGCCTGTGGAGGTTGGAAATTTGGTAGCAGGAGAGCAGTGGCTATGTTAATTGTCATGACTTCCTCTTCCCCCACCCAGCCAAATATCCAAACCCCTGTGGAGCCCTGCAGGCTGGATCTGCCCCAGTGACCCAGGGTTGAGCCACACCTATTCTAGACTGTTTTAGACCCCAGGTTCCCCACTGCCTGGGTGGGTGCCGTAACCATTCAGCTATTGAGACTAAAATATAAGAAGGGTGGTCACTCCCTTCTCCTTAACATATGGTCAAGTATTCACCTACTTGCCCAACTAGTGCGTAGCCTGGCTGCCCGTTTAACAAATATGCATATGTCTACGTCCACAGCGCACTGGTATGTGCCAAAAATATTGGGTATATGGCTGGAAAACTGCTCTTTAGGTGAATAAAGGATAATAAAATTCAACTATTAGTTTCCCTATCGCTAAAGCTCCTGTTTTTAATGTGTATCTACAATACTAGTTTTTGAGATTATAGGATTATAGAAAATTAGGGGTGGAGGGGACTTTGTAAGGTCATCTAGTTCAGCCCCCTGCTCAAGGCAGAAATACACACACACGCACGCACGCACGCACGCACGCACACACACACACGCTGACTTGCTCTGTCGAGTATACCCAGTTTGAGATGTTGTTTCATTTTTTAAAATAAATCTAAATGTCTTTACAGCTTCTCAGCTCTGCGTGTGTGCGTGTATTTATATATATATATAAAAAATACATCTCTAAATCTCTAAAACAAAATCAGTATAAAAGTGCTTTCCACAGTTTACCTCTTTAGATGTCTTATGTTTCATTAAAATCCAATATAATGATTACAGATTGTTTTGGCTTACTACTAACCTTTAAAATTAATTACTTCTATAAGTAAATTAGGTTAGTACATTTGACTTTACTGGAAGAAATTTATATACACAAATATTTATATACCGTGTAGCTCAGCTTTTATTTTATTTGAAATAAGTTTATGCTGCACTTCCTTAATAAAATAGACTTAGGGGAAATGAGAATTTAAACTTTATTACGTGTTAAAGCACATGCAGGATAAGAGGTACATTCAGCACATTTGTAACTTTTAAATGTACATTCTTTTACAGACCCACAAGCTCCAGACCTGCCAGAGATCAGTAGTTCCCACTTGGTGCAGCTACCCTAAATTCGTTATGATGATGAGAACATTCTCATCATGAAATTTCAGTGGAGACTAGTGTCACCTCAAAGAACTAATATTTACAATATTGCAAATATTCTTTAAGCTTAAACATATATATTTTTATATTCTATTCCACAGGATATAAAATAGAAATGCTAGGAATTTGGAAAAAATGTGCAAAATTGGATTTAACGAATAAAGTACCCATAGAAGGCCACTTCAGTGAGGTTCTGTAATAGGAGGGGCATTACTACTGGGAATACAATGTTCAGATATTACACCAAGTGGGAGCCATCAGATCCAGAGCATGTCTGGACTATACTGAGATAGAACAGGTATGTTTAAAGTTACAAACAGTCTGACTTGCTCTGTTGAGTGTACCCGGTTTGAGATACTGTTTCATTTTATTAAATAAATTTAAATGTCTTTACGGCTTTTCAGGAACACCTTTTATCAGTATGGTTTAGTAGCTCATTGCTTTTGTGTTTACTTTTAAGTTAATGGTGGCATGTTAAACTTTTCTTTGGGTGGACTTCCTTTTCTGTGTCTGCATTTTAATTTTATTTGAATTTTAATATCTCTGATAAAATATTGCAAATATCTGACACATTGTTTGCTTTGGAGAAGTGCCACTTGTTCAGGACAAAACTATTGATGTTTCACACTGCAGTTTGGTTGTTACTATTATGCATTTAAACTAATTTGTTAACCTGAAGCATTGAGAGATTAAAATTCATGGTTAACTATAAAGCAACTTCTTTCTTTTCTTTTTAACAGAATGCAGTAGTTTCATTCAAAGAATTATGTGGCCTCTCTCCTGTAGCGAATCTTATGCAGTGTGTTCTGGCAGTGTCTACACGCTTGGTTGGTCCTGATAATACACCCTTGGTAGCACTGAATCTCAATGATCAGTATCCCACAATGGAACTCCAAGGGACTGTTCCAGAGGTCTTGAAAAAGATTGTAACAGCATATGACACGGTGAGTAGTCCTTTGTGATTTTGTGTATGCTACTTGAAAGACTTTTTATAATATACAGTACCCATGTCTGTTTTGAAAGGTCATTCTAATTTGTGACTTTCTATTTCATGCTTCATTACTTGTGATTGAAAAGTCATTCTTACAAACATACACAATTTGACAGTGCTTTTATATGATGTGAAATGTAAAAATTAATATACTATACGCAAAGTGAAAAAAGGCTTTACTATTTGTAATAAAGAATATGTTAGTGGTAGCAGTTAACCTGTTTAGACAAACTTGTAACTCTTTGTGCATCTATAATTTTATTACAGCTGTACAGTGATTTGTTACTTCATATTTTTAGTTTATGGAGATGCTATTCTTTTTACCTTGGATTCAAACAAAGAGTAGGAAGTTTTGTTTTTAAGCACTATCATTTTATGAGAAGCTTGATATGGTTGAAGTCTGCTCGTACTTTTTTGTAAATAGGCTATAACACTCAAGCACCTTGTGCATTCTGTAATCATCTCTAATGTTCATTTCAGCTTTTTTGTACTGAAGTAAGGCTACAAACTTGAAAAGATTTTTCTGGAAAGAAAACTCTTTAAAAAAATACTAATGGATATACTGCAGTAAAATAAGGAATTCTTAATTATAAAGCCTAAATTATTTAAGCTTATGGAGGAAAATCTCCATGAACTACAAGCTAATCTTCCTGATTTCATTTAAAGCAATAAGGAATAGGGCAAGAAACAATTTCTCAGTTACCCAAAACTGGCATACAATGCAAGTTCTCTCTCACATAAAGGTAGAGTTTGAATTTTTTAAAATAACTTCTACAGTTGATATAGTATATATTATGCTGGTATATAGATATTTTAGAACGCAGATATTTTAGGATTTTTCTACCTGTTTTATATTTAAATACAGAAAAAGCCAAACAGCTGAACAGACTTCCTAAAGAAAGAATAAACTGAGTAACATTTTGGAGGCAGTTTCTCAGCTCAACCTTAGAATAGTTACTGACCAAAGTACAAATTGCGAATTTTGTTAACCAGCAGTTCAGGTTGAGTGTTATAGATTGTGCATAGCTGAGAGGTATAAATAAAGGTACAGCTCACAGGCAGCAGGAGAAAATATTATTTGGGTGGGCTGGGGGCCTGGAGGGTGGAGTGCAGGGGGCAGTGCAGGGTGCACCTGCTTGATCCTGTCCCTCACTCCTGCAGGGCTGTTGTGGTTCAGGTGCTGGGCATGGTGCTGCAGCTGCGGGGTGTGGTGGTGGCACTGGAGCAGTGGAGCCACGTTTGTGGGGTCTAAGCCCCATTAGCCCCAGCCTTCCACCGTTTATGGTACAGCTTGGTTTAAATGATATTGTAATCGCTGAAATCCAGTACAAAGTGTTCCAAATCTGTTGGGATTATAGATGAAAATAAACTCTTTAAGCATGGACAAATTTTGCTTGGTTTTATAAGGAGAGGGGGAACTGTTGGTCAGGACCATGCAGGGACTGTTACTCTGTTATGTGTGTACAAGCCTGTAGTAATACAGGAGAGCTATGTTTCCCCAGGTTTAACCCTGGATTAAGGAGGGTTAAAGTCAGAGTGATTTTTGTCTGAAGCAGCAACAGCTTGCCCTCACCTTTTGAAACTGCTCCAAGTGAATGTTTGACGATGTCCCATGTTACTGATGGAAAGCTTTGTCCTGAAATGTCTGGTTGTTCTGAGGTTGGTGACACACTAGTGGAACTGCTCTTTGCTGAGCATTTCTGTGCTGTGTTTTCCATATATCATCTGGAATATCTAAACAAACAGAGGTCACTAGTATGTCTGATCAACCATAATTGTATGATATACCTTTTGGGCTTTTTTTTTTTGGTGGGATGGGAGGAGGGAAGGAAAAGATGGACGTTGCCTGGGCAAGTTCATACATTAAAAGAAAAAAAAGACTTTCTCTGGCAAAACTCTGCAAAACTTAAAAGTTCAACAAGTTTTCAGAACAAATTGCAGAGAGAGGCCATTTGTTCTCAAATAAACCCTTATTCTATATAAAGCTTACTTTTTTACTTACTTCCTGGGAACAGATTCCTCATGTGGCTTTGTCTTAGTGCATGGTTTGAACATTAAATAGCTTTGTTTTGATATGTACTTTGGAGAAAATCTGTCAGACACACATATGTTATTCTGTAAATAAAATATCTGTAAACGTTACACTGAAACTGTTTATCTCAAAAAGCCACTTTAATGATATAATAAGCCGCAATAAGCAAGTAAGCAAATGAAAATTTTTTTGAAAATTAGTGGTATTTCATTTTTGAACCCCTGTAACCTCCAAGTGTGTGGCACAATTTGAAAGAAACTTTTCTAGAAAAAATGTACTTTGAGCTAGCCTGTAAACTTTCATATGGTTTATTAATCTCGGTTTTGGGGAATGTAATAGGATGTACAAGTCTTTCTTAAAGGTTCACTAAATCTTTTGGGACAATATTACTCATGTCCCAGGTTTGCCTATCAAAACGCTTAAGAGATGGGTAATGTCCTTGAAAGAAGGGAGCTGGGGAGGAAGTGTGAAGAAGTCTATTCTGTTCACCTTGGTTTTATGGCTAGAGATTGGATTTCCATGAGCAGGTGGGACAAGAACTCCCCTTCCCTCTCATTGAAGTGAGAGAACTGAGGGGTTCTGCAGGTTCTTGGTGGTCCCAATTACACTACTTTTCACAGCCAGGAGAGCAGGGCAGGCCAGTAGTCACATTATTCTTTTTTCTGAGAAAGCATGATAGAAATGAAAGGGACTCCCCAAAATGGAAGGGAATCCAGGTTGGACCTGGCCTGTGCAATTCAGTTATTTACTATGGTAGAATCCTTGTAGTCTGATGCCATCGTTCATACCATGGATATGTTGTTTTACTTTTTGGGGCAAACTAAAATAAAGATCCCCAGGCAAGCAAGTACTCTGTATGCAGATTCCAAGGTCATTCTTTTTTGTTGTTTGGTATGCTACAGCCAAGTTGGGAGTACATGCAGGAAAAGTACTTTCCTATTTTTCTTATTTTGGGCTTGCATGTGCTGAATGGACAGGTCAGAATTACATTTTAATGGAGTTGTTCCAAGATACATCACCTATTATCAGTGTGAAATCAGGGTAATAACAGGCATTGCTTTGCAGAATGTTTTTCAAACAAACCTTGGTTACCATGGTAAGCGCACAGATTATCTTTGGTTTACATTGTTTAATTCTGAATATGACACATGGTCAATATGGATGTTTTCAAAGCATCCACTGTTTCAGGGTTAGTCCATCTCAGACAGATACAGTAATCGAATATTTAACACTTCTTTGTCAGAAATACTTTCTCAACTAAAAAAACAGGACTAAACTTTTACACTAACATGGTGGTCAACAGAGGTTTTTAGTTATTCAGTAGAATTTGTTTGCACAAGGAGTGACTACAGAGCTCAATATATTCGTTCAATAAACTATGAAAGGATGCAAGTCCTCTTCACTAAAAGAATTTGTCTGCAATAAAGTAATTACTAAAGAGTACAATTCTACAGGGATGCATGATACTACTGAAAGCATCTTTAATGTAACACAGGAACAACATAGTTATTGAAGAAACAATGAGCCAACTGACTATCATTTAATTAAAAGCATCTCAGGATACTTGTTACTTTATATAGTCTTGCCATAAAGATATAGCACACACAGGAATGTATACTATGGTCTGCATTCACTATTGTATCAGTTAACTTTAGAAATTTCTATTTGGGTATCTTTACCTTGTTTTCTAGGGCCCAGTTCAGCTGAAATCTGCTAGTTCAGTGATGATTCAGTCTTTTTGTTTTGATGGATAAAATGGCCACTCATAGTTGGGGAGATGCAAGTGATATGGGGTAGAAATTGGGTGAGAGGGACAGAAGCCTGGTCACAGGATTTTGACGTTGACTTGATTAGAACCAGTATTTCACTAAGGAATGTTTAAAAAAAAGTATTTTTAACTTTTGTCTGTGCATTAGTGAGTCAAGTAATGCCTTCCGAATAATATAAAGCAGCAATATAACTAGGAACAAAATAAATCTGTTTCTTAGCACACAAAGATACTTATTTTTCCTCTATTGATGAATGTACAAAAGATTCCTTAAAGACACTCTGTAAGCTTGATAAAAAGATCAGAATATTTTGTTGAGGCACTGGGAAAATGGACATTTATAACATCTTTTTCAGCATTTAACAGTGTTTTATTTTTTCCCCTCAAGTTCATGAACTGCAGCTTCCTCTGTGTGATACTTCAGCATACACTCTGCTGGTGTCATCACACCCATCACTGAACACTGCTGTATACTGAAGCCTGGAGATAAGGCAAGTGCTTCTTCCACACCATTGCATGTTTTTAATGTCTTATGCCCTATAGGATAACTCATGGGAAAAGTAAAAACTTTATAAAACTGTGCAATGGCAAGGGAAAAAATACTTATCTTGTTCCCAAAGTCAGGCTTCAGTCTGCAGCATTGTTCAGTAATAAGTATGATGACACCAGCAAAGCATATGCTGGGACATCATCCAGCGGAAGCCAGCTGTCACAAAGAACCTGTTTGTCTGTGTATCAGTTTTTAATTTAATGATGAGGTAGCTAATCACTGAAACTTGGTTGGATAATGCTGTGGGATCAGCTTTGTTGCAGTTGGCATCTGTCAGGTTTTTGGTTCAGTATGCTTAAGCCACTTGATATGTCTGCAAGTAACACAGGTAGCCATGTAAATTGGGCAACTGGCACTATCCATTAACCAAGTATCATTGATTCCAATTTTAAAAGATCCACTCTTATCAAATTAAGCACTCTGTTTAATTTGTGCTTCCTAGAGATAGGGTCTAGCTGCCACTGGTCTTCATTTACTTCTGCATATTGATACAAATGAAAGCCATCTTGTTAGTTGACAGAGGCCATATGTGTTTGAAGACACCAAAACTGATTTTGCTTGCTGACCTTGGCATGCACTTGGATGATGAATCCTCAAAATAAT